ACACACACACACACACACACACACACACACACACACACACACACACACAAGAAACATTGCATGGCCCAAGGAAGATGTTTTAGAAACAGAATGTATCTTTCTAAACTTCTTTATAATAGGCTATTTGGTGTGTCTGTCCACCACAGTGCCTGTCTCCTGTTCTCCTGTCTCCTGGGATAGTACTTGGATCAACAGGTGCCTATGAACAGATATTCAATCACCTGCTGAAGGATCCCAAGTCTAGATTCTCCCTAGAACAGGAAGCCAGTGCCCAGCCACTCAAAACTCTCCCCTTTACCCATTGCTTGAAGCAGTTGTTCCAAGGCCTGGATCACTAATTAGTCAAACATAAACAAAAAAGCTTTCTGTAATGTAAGTCTGGGTGGGCCTGTCAGAGCATAGTTTCCAGATTTGTGAAGAGTCTGTCGTTAGAGGTCAGGGAACATGACTACAAATGGTGCTCACCTGCCCAGCAGGTGCTCCTCATCTTACCCTCAGCTCCCTGACACCCACCAGCTGTGTCAGAGACCAGCTTTCCAGGCAATTCTGGGCATCTTCAAAACCACCTTACTTATGCACAGATGTACAAAACCTGTATGTGTTCTGGTTCTTTGGTAAAATGTTATTTTCACAAACTACTGGGGGAGGGGTACTGCTTATTAAAACAGCATGTGATGTCACTAAAAAATTAGTGAATTATACAAAAGACAGAGGAAAATAATCAGAATTCTATTACCCAGAATCAACCAATGAAGCATCAATGACCACCGCTATGTACACAATAGTTGCAGTAATAATATGCACAAAAGAACAGTCTCTTTTTCTGAGTTGGGGGCACATAAAATACCATTTAGTGACTTGCTTCCTTTAAGCTAACATTAAGTCCCAAGAGCAATTTCTGTGTATAGTTCCACTTTGTGAAATGAGCATGATTTATTCATCCTTTGTTGGACATCATGGTTGCTCTTAAACTATCAGAAATGTACTAATATCAATAACATCCTAATTGGTGTTTTCTTTTACAGAAATATTATACCTATATTTTCTGTTGATGGCTAACTAATTAATGATCTGGGCCCTGCTTCAGGCAGAGGGTAAAGGAACAGTTCTGAGTGGCTGGGTACTAGCTTCCTGTTCTAGAGAGAATCAAGACCTGGGATCCTTCAGCAGATGACTGAATATCTACCTGTCTACAGCCACCTGTTGATCAAAGTACTGTCCTAGGAGACAGGAGAATCAGAGAGGCACTGCCATGTAACTGAGGCACTTTACATGTGCATATCTCTAGCACAAGACAGGCTCTTTGATACAATCTCATGGAGCATGTTTGTTCCCAGATTTACAGGGCAGTGTCTGGCTGAGCTATGAGATACCAGAGGCACAATTCTTTTACTAATAGATAGTACATGCTTTTTATTCTTGTAAGACATTATAAATATTTACTCATTCACCCTTGAACCAAAACTAATACAATAAAGTTCTCATAGGCAGATGATAGATTTCGAAGTGTCTGCTTTGTTCTTCCCATGTCTTCAGTGCCTAGTACGTTGCCTAGAGATGAGGTAAATGAACGTTTGATCAGCGAAGACAAAATGTAAAAGTGAAGCTATCTCATTCCAATCACCAGGCAAGTCTTGGTTCCACTTCTGTGAGGACTGGGGCCTGTACATTTCCTTAATCCTTTTGCACAATTAGGGGAAGCAGTAATATGAATGTGCATCTGACCCAGGTACTCTTGTGCAGGATACACTATTTTCATTTGATACATCATTTTTATGGAAAATGAGCCATTTCCCAAGGGATCTACTCAGGCTGTAAGATCCTGTTTCTTGTGGGTGATATCAAGCCAACCTGGAATCTTCCATTAGCTTGTGCTGCTACAGAAGCACTTAGATACTTTTAATGCCTCAAAATATTGAACCCTTTGTGATGATTGGGCAGAGGTTTCTCTAATAGTAAGTTGTGCTTTGATGTACAACCTTGAGGAATAAAAATGCGAGTGAATTTATGAAGCACATTTTAAATGTAGGCTTTCTACTTGGTAATAGAAATAAAAATATACTCAAAAGTTCATAGATGAGTACGGGATTGTCATGAGCACTACAATAATTTATACTCTACCAGAGGCTGTGTAGACGTGGGTAGGGACTGTGACAATCTATAGTGTACTAGGGGCTGAGTAGGTGTGGCTAGGGACAAGGACCACAGGGGAAACAGTTGCACACCCATTGTGATGGAGACAATGAATATCACATGAAGATGAGACCATTCTTAGAGTTTGTAGGATGGGTAGGAATTAGTGGGGAGAGAAATAAGGTAGTGGGTTTTAAAGAAGAACAGTTTAGGTTGGTAATCAGAAAGGTGCCACATCTCTGGGACAAGCAAGTTCTCACCAGTAGTGGGAGCAGAGGGTCTGTGGCTGAGATAAGAAGTTGTAAGAGGCAAGTTTAGGTGATTCATGCAGCAGCCACTGTGGATTGTGCTGTGTAGACAATAAACATTTTGTTAAGGGAGCCCCATCCTTTAGCCATCGATGCCACAGGTATGAATAAAGACAGTTTTTATTTTTCTGACAATACTCTTGATTTTATTTTTTGGGGGAGGATTTTCAGGTTTTGTTATATTATATTTTAATCCAGATGGTACAATGGTCCAAACATCTTTCTAATTTTTTGAATCATCTTTTATTGATGTATTTATTACTTATTTTGATAGCCAGGATGTTCCCACTTTTTTCCCACTTGCACCTTTTTATGTGGTGGTCGGAGCTGGACTTGGCCATTTGGTTTATTTTAACTTAGAGTGGCAAGAATTTACAGAACCAGATGATCTTTACAATGATGCATGCAGGAAATAGCCACAGAACATCAAAATAGACATTGATATGATTAAGCCACAGTTGGAGTGGGGACTCATTTCTATAAAACCTTTGGAACGTTCCGTGCACCCTCCTGGGAATGCTAGCTGAGTAAAGACAGAAAGGAAGAAAGTGGCACTGCTGGGACCAAGTGAAAATGTGGGGACCGTCTCAGCTACCAGTGGGAAATTCTAACGTTCTTTTTTCCCCTCTCTATGCACTCAGACTGGCCACCAAGCCATGATCCCTTTGCTCCCATCTTTAGAATGTGTGTATTACAGTGCCTGGCAGAGTTCATTGTTCAAAAGCACTCACAAGCTTATGAATAATTTATTTGCTTAAATATGCTTTAATTTTTCTATTGAATAAACTAATGTGTATTTGCTTTAAAATTTTTACTCCCAGAGGAATAAGGCTAGTTGCTGATATCAATGTTTGTTTCTCCTTGAGTCTGTACACTGTGGAATATCATTTTTCTAGTCTCCACGTCAATTTGAATTAAAATATTCTATGGCCTGCACCCGTGATTCATGCCATCATTCATTTATATCCACCGGTATTTTGTAAAATGGCAGTATTTTGTGAGATATGGTACAAAGGTCATGTTGCGTTTGTAGTCAACTTGAAAAAACTATGGGAATGAAGACATGTCTGTGATCATGATTCTCTATTTTGCTTGTTTTCTAGGTAACAATGGCCAACATTGCAATAAATGGAAATAATTCCCCAGTGACCTGTGAAACAACACTCTTTGCTCTCCGAATGGCAACGTGGAATCAGATCTTAGACCCCTGGGTCTACATTCTGCTACGAAAGGCTGTCCTTAGGAACCTGTATAAGCTTGCCAGTCGCTGCTGTGGAGTGGACATCATCAGCCTGCACGTCTGGGAACTCAGCTCCATCAAGAACTCCTTAAAGGTTGCTGCTATTTCTGAGTTGCCAGCTGCAGAGAAGGAGAGTCAGCAAGCATCTAGTGAAGCTGGACTGTGAGTCAATGCAGGGTTAGAAGAAAGTCATGGAAACTTCTGAAACATCTCAGCTGATCAGACTCAGCGTAACTGGAACATTTGGACCTCTGTGTAGTTCGGGAGTACACTGGTCAGACACAGCTTCTGAATTTTGTTATGCTGGCGGCTGCATGGTTATGTACTTTCATTTGTTTCTGTCAACAAGAGATAAATATAATGTCGTGGAGTTGAGTAGAACGCACATTTGAGCTTATCTGTGTGGCTTATGTTCTTGGAATAAATGAATCTGTTGAGGCCCAGTGCCTTTATTTTTCCAAGACACTTAATGCTTAATGACATTGCCATTTTAGGATTCTCTAACTTACAGACAAAGCTTAAAGTAACACAAGACTTTTTGTGTTTGTGTGTACGGTTCTGCTCTGTCTACCATCCCTGAGTGTTCTCAATCATTATCTGCGTGACCATGACATCTGAGACTCATGGTGACTTTGATGGCCACTATGTAGGCTGCTCAGCCTGACATTGTGAGGCTGATGAGGACAATCATTCTTGTTACAACTCACAGGTGTGATTGCTTGCATTTGTTGCTATGAAGGTCAGTTATTGTTTCCAGACTGTTATCCTCCTATAAAGTCAGAGGTTCTCAGTGTCTAAGTAATCTCCCTTTCTTCTGGAAATTGTAGAGAAATGCAGGCTTTATCTTAGCACAGATTCAGCTCAGGATAGCACATCATAAGCCTTATTATGTACGATGCAAACATTGAAATCCTATGTATACATGTCAAGAACATGGCAAACATTGCTTTACCTGAACTGTTGTTTCTGTGTCAGAGAATAAAAGAAAAAAATCAAGACACATTCAAAGTCTGTTGGCAGCTATTGTATTTCTGCCTTATACACACAGGCATAAAGAAGTTCTGTTAACAGCAATTTGAACCACACTTCCAAAAGCCTATGTTATCAGTGAGGACTGAAAAGATCTGAAATTAGCTAGGAGTTGGGACCCATTGTTACGGTTAACCGGAGGCTAAGTGACAAGACTCTGTTGCCAAGTTTCCCAGTCTTAATTCACGCTTCTCCTTTGTTTGTTTGTATAATTTAACACAAAGATAATCAGTTTCAGTAATCATTCTAAACAGGTCCATCAGTGACTAGTGTTAGTGGTTATGTTTTACAAAGAAACGTATTTTCATACTTAAAAATTTTCCTTGCTTTCATCAAGTTTGGCTTCATTTTAAATTATTACTAATTTTTTGCAGTGTGTATGTATGTTTTACCTGAATGTATTTCCATGCATTTTGTACCTTCCTGGAACCTACCGAAACCAGAAAAGGGCATCAGATCCCCTGGGACTGAAGTTATAGATGGTTGTAAGTTACCCTGTGGGTACTAGAAATTGAACCCAGGTTCTCTGGAAGAGCAGCTGTAGAGGAATTTTAATCCAGCAACCTTGTGAATTCGATAGACTTAAAATAGTAACCCCAACATGGTTTCTCTGGCAAGAGATCACATCTGAAGACCTTCTAGGCCTATATTACCTAGATGGAATGCAGGCATGCCCTGTATTGTAGTACAATCTGGCTGTAATACAGACACACTCTTTAATCCCTAACAATGAAGGTAAAATTAGTTTGTAGAAGGAAGTACCCACTTTTGAAAGCAATGTCCAATTGAGGGGCAGACAGAGTGGTGAATCAGAAAGTTTTGAAAGAATGAGTTAGAGAAAGAATATGCCCAACTCACATAAGAACAGGAAAGGAAAGAGAGTATACTGTGGAGGAGGATGAAGAGGTGGTGATGGAGAGAGAGGGAGAGAGAGAGAAAGAGAGAGAGAGAGAGAGAGAGAGGAGGAAGAGAGAGAGAGGAGGAAGAGGAGAAGGAGGAGGGGATGATAGGGAGGAGGAGGAGGAGGAGGAGGAAGAAGAAGAAGAAGAAGAAGAAGAAGAAGAAGAAGAAGAAGAAGAAGAAGAAGAAGAAGAGCAACAACAACAACGGCTGTGGTGTGTGTTTATGACAGTTTTGTCAGGACAGTTTTATATAGATTAGCTCTAGAAAGAACAAGCTGAAGACAGAGCAAAGCAAAGAATGAGAAGGAGACAGGAGAGTAGAGAACTTATTGCCAAAGTTAGTATGAGGCCAAGCAAGCAATCAGGCAGAAGTGGAGAGAAGTCAGATTGAATCAGTCAACTTGGAAGATTAGATTGTTTGGAGGCTAGAAGCTTTTAGGTCTAGGCCTAGGAATAATTAGAACAGAGAAAGAAATGCTCTGGGCGCAGCCTAAGCTGTGTATTCACTCAGCTTGAGTATGGCTTTCATCTCATCCCTTCATCTGAGGAAATGAAAGCGTTGTTTTCAAGTAGCCACTGTTCTTCACTGCTGAGCCACCTCTCCAGCCTGTCCAAATTGTTTTTATCTGTAAAAATGATTTTAGATTCTAGGAACTCTGTGAATTCAATAGACTCAAAGGAGTAGCTTCAAAAACTTCTGCTTTGGGTTAGTAGTTTATATTATATTTGATTACTGCTTTTGGTAAATTCTCATAAGTAAATTAAAAGAAATTAAGCAAATAGCCTTATTGAAGACTTACAGAAAATTATTTGTAGTGTTTTGAAAGGAATGCACACTATTATGTGATAATCTTAACTTAAAGACAAGTGATCAATCACACAACTGATTCCTATGCAGAGAATATGTCAGAGAATAGACAACATTTTTTGGTGTAAATTGAGCACACAGCTGTAAAGAGTGTGCACAATTTAAATTTAAGCTGACAGCTACATGTTGGTTATTGTGATGTATATATGTATACAAATATGTATGTGTGTTCCTATGTGAATGCATGCAGGTGTTTATGATATATGTGTGTATGTATGAGCATGTATATATATAAAATGCATATGATTGTAAAAAAGCATTACAGTTTATGATTGCTGTTATATTACATAAATGTTATCATTTTTAATTTTGAGAGTACTCAAAGCTCAGAAAATCTTTTGGACAGTTCACTTTACTTTCCAAGCAGATTTACTCCCCACAGCAATAAGATGTTGGTATCTCAAAAACTGAGGCACGAAGAACCAAATCTCTGTCTTCACTAATTATAGTCGGTAAAACTCTGCAATTAACATTACCATGCATTTCAACTGAGAAAAGGCACTGAGAAGGAACTTGTTTCACAGCTCCAGTTCTCTTTATTGTGAGCCTCTGATATGGACACAATTGTTCCTCTACTGCTGTGGTGTCTACAGTGAGACCATCTTTTAACATCATTTTGTGATGAAGGAAAGGCTCTGGGAAGTGCCAAGGAGCTTATTCAGTGCATATTCTGGAAGATTTATCTATACTACCTAATTATACTTTTAGGGAAAAGTAACTGATCTTATGATGAAGATAACGCACAGTGTAAATATAAAAAATTGAAAAAGTTTCATATTATACCTGACTCAAAATTTCTGTTTGTTATAGTGGCTGTTGTATATAGTTTACTGTGCAGTGAGCAACAGAGGATGTGTTTGCTGATAACTTCCATAAACCTGAGTGAAAGTGTGTTTTTTCTTATTCATTAAAATAAATAGTAAAAGTCATTCCAACAAGTTCACTGTGAGTGTTTAAGCTCTGTTTTGACATTTACAGTTTGTTATATGAGGTAGACTGTTGTCCGCACAACTTCACATATTTTCCAAATATTGGATTTCTGAAAAATTGCAATCTTAATAAGCAAACAAACACTAAATACTAAACCTTTTTGGAGTCTTTGTAAATCTTTTATGAAAATGAAATAAAATACATATCACATTTTTGAAGAATTGCATGTACAGAAAGAATAATGAATTTTAATTAGCTATGGATATGACCCCCAAACAAGACACTTAGTAGTGGGCTTAATGAGGGAATAGAAATGTTCTAAAGACAGGATGCTGCTTCTAACTGACTGTGAAGCAGAGAGTTTCTAGATAGCAACACACATACATGGATATATCTGCTATGTAATAAATAGTTTTCTTTTCTCACGTTCAGACTTAAAAGACAATCCTGCCTTGTTTTTTTGCCTAGCGTGAAGTTAGGACATAAAGAAGGGCAATCATTAAACACGTGGAACGAGATGGTGTAGACAGTCGCTTGCCTGCTTCACTGTGTACCACCAAGAGCTACACATGAACCGTTTTCCACGGTCAGAATATAAAGACTGGAACTGTACATTTTCTTAATTCTTCACGTGGTTGTCAGAAGAATTTACCACCTACCCGGTAAATAGTATTGGACATAAGTCATTCCTGACACATTTCAATTGGAGAGGAAGTGAGTGTTTTTTGTTATGTAAATAAATGCATTGTGTGTTCTTCATACTTGTAGGAGAAGAGTAAATGATAAAGAGATGTATATACTGTTACTTGCATTAGGGTGCTTGTTATTTAAAAGTTTTTGGCTAGCTTGAAACTTTAAATGTTTTTATGATCAGCATAGATGAATATTTACCATGAGAGGTTAGCTTTAGAAAGTCGTACAAATGTGGGACTCTCGAAGGGGAAGTTTCATTCATGTTTGTTGTCGGGAGGGAAGAACTTCAGTTTGCTTTTCATGCTTTTGTTTCTCCTTTCTTGCTCACTCTTCTGTGACCTTTGTGATTCTTTTATCTGAGCTTCACTTTCCCTAGGCACGCCACATAGTTCAGATCTCATGGATTCTAAAATCTGGAAGGGTAGGAACAGTCAAGTAGTCTACAGACATCCATCATGTCAAACAGCCTCAAATGTCAGAGCCATTATCCTCACAACGGTGTGTTCCTTGCCTGTGGCTCCTGTCACTGGGCTCAGAGAACTCAAGCATGAATTAGCTACCATTACATGCTGCTGTTCCTTCCAGAGGGAAGAGAGTATGGAGCATCTAACAGGCTGTTAAGGCCCTGATTGGAGGGGTGATCTTCAGTCACCCATCTCCAGTTAAAGCAAGTGGTGCAGCTGTCTGATCTCAGTGGGGACAGGTAAGGATGAGATAAAATCCCATAGCTCAGAAATGACTAATAGGCAACACCGATCAAAAATAGATAAAAATAGATCAAAGTAGATAAAAATAAATCACTCTTAGCTTCTTAAAAGCATCAAACAAAGCCTACTTAGCGGTTTGTTTGATTTTTGTTTCTTGGTTTAGGCATGAATAATATCTAGGAATCCTTGTTTGTAAGTACTGAGAAACTTGTTACCTCTACAAGGAGAAATTACGGTACATTCATCTTATGTAACGGTATCTAAATGTAAAAAAAAAAAAACAACCTCACCTCTCTCTCTTTTATTCATTTATATTTTTTAAAGAATGTCCAACTCGACATTGCCATTACGCCTTTTGTTTTCTCCAAGAAGGGTGTGTGTATGTGTGTGCGCATGTGTGCAAATCCATGTTTGTGTGGGTAACACGTGTGAACCCATTTGTATAGAGGTCCAAGACTGATGTCAAGAGGCTTTCTTGCTCCCTCTCCACCTTACTCACTCAAGTAAAGTCTCCCAATTGAACTCAGGGATCACCAATTCAGTTAGTCTAGCTAGTTTGTTAAGAGAATTCCCTGCCTTCATCTTGCAAGGCAAGAATTCCAGGGGAGCCACCATGGCTGCCTGGCCTTTACATGAGTTCTGTGGAACCCTGACTCTGAGGATCCTACTAACAAAAGAAATCACAATACATGACATCTAGAGGATCACAGTTTATAGCAGCAGAACAGACAGTGACGTTAATATGAAGCTACAGTGACACACAGGGACTGAGTCTCAAATGTTGGGGTTCATCACTTGGGCATGGGTATTTATAAAATCAGATTGCTGTGACCAGCTACCCTGACTGATTTGGTATCTGGGGTTGTAGGGGTGGGGAATTTATTTGCAATGAGATCTCAGATGAGGACATCAGGCAATGTGAAGGGCACACTCTGAAAAATGCTGACCTAATTCCACTTGAGCATGTGGTTAACCAGACATATGTTGTGGCATGAAATGCACAAAGAACAAAGAAGCTTTGTAAAACTGCAAAATCTCACCACCATTTTTCATATTGGACAGTTCCTACCCAGCCTGAATTTTCCCTAACCCTAAGCAAATTGAATAGGAAAAAGTGCAGTAAGAACACAGACAAGAGGTTGTATAAAAACCCCAAAAGGCAGTGAAACAAGGGGTGGCTGGTATCTAGTCTCTTACTAGCTTCCAAAAGATTGTTCAGAAAGCAGACAAAATTTCTACACTAGTCTCTTAGAATATTGTTTGAAGTTTGATTCTGTAGCTCAACTTTTTTCTTTTGGTGTCTTTCTCCATTCCTTTCTTCTTGAAAGAATTTGAGGCCATTTGGATTGATTTTATGTTTCCTCTCTACAATTCCAATGTTTATAGTATTTCTACTCTTCTTTGATCTTGGTATTTTCCACTTTTGTTTGAGTCCCATTGGTTTTAAAGTCACTTCCGCCTGTAGGAAAAAAAACAACTTTTTAATCCGTGTTGGCTTTCTAGATGATCACTGAGTATTTATTTCCAAATAAGATGAGAGGGCAATACTTCTGTTCTATGGCAAGTAACTTATTACAATGAATTCTACAAAATGGTATCAAAATGGCATTAGTGGATGAAAACAAAATAAGAATAAATTGACAATCAAATCTCATCCTGAAGAGATTTATTTATAAAAGTTTTAATCTAATCTAAATGGTATTCTTAAGGAAATAAAAGCACCAACAAAAAAGTCCAACTAACAAAAATAATATTAGCAACAATAGCAAAACAATTCAACACACACA